TCCCGGTCACTGCAGCCTCAACCTGCTGGGCTCCGGCGATCCTTCCGCCTCAGCCTTCCGGGTAGCTGGAACTACAGGCCCACGCTACCACGCCCGGCTAATTTTTTATTTACTATGGAGATGAGGTCTCACCAAGTTGCCCAGGCGGGTCTCGAACCCCTGGGTTCAGGCTGGTCACAAACCCGTGGGCTCAGGCAATTCACTCACCTCAGCCTCCCAAAGGTGCGAGATTACAGGCTGAGCCATGGAGCCAGGCTTGGAAATATCTTTATCCTACTCTGGCACTCGGTCAATATTTTGAATGGGCACAAAATTCTAAGTTAGAAATTCTAAAGTTTAAAAAGTTTATTTCTGTATCCAATTTTGCTTTCTAATGCCATCCCACTTCTCTTTCTCTCTCTCTTTTTTAGGGGGTGGGAATGTGTTCTCATATTTTTTTCTCCTAGAACTATTATTAGGCTTTTATCTTTACTCTTGATCTTACAGGAATTTTTTTTTTCATTCATTTTCCTGGATATTACTGACCTTTGTAACCCAGAAACATACCTCAGAAAATTTTTTTGCTGTGGTTTCCTTCTGTAGTCTTTTATGGAGCTTATTAGTCACATAATTCATAAGTTAATTTATTATTTTGACATCGTTCTTTGGTGTTGATAGTTTCCTTATGAGTTTAGTTCTTTTGGGTAGTCTAATTATAGTTACAATGAGACAATAGGAAAAGTTGATTAGATGTCCTATTGTTCTTAGAAGATCTTGGTGAATGAGGAGATTCCTTAGGATATTATTGATTTATTTTCTTCAGTATCTTTCATTATCTCCAGAAATGAATTTACTGTGCTACTCCTTGTAGTCAGGTAAACTGTGAGGGAGTGGTTCTACTCATGGTAGGACAGGGAGGGCAGGCATCCAACCATTTCATTTGCAGACAATTTTGTCCTCCTTAATTTCAGTCTTGGGCCTCATCCTTGCGCTATGCTGAGCCTGGTTTTACTCTGAGTCTCTTACTCTGAGATGACAGGCTTTCTCTGGGAAAATTAAATTGCAAACAAATGCAATAATTATTCTTTTTATTTTCTCAAAAAAATTAAATAGGATTGTAAGGAATCAAGAAAAACCTCTTCTCTACATGGTGAGTGGAAGTCTTCTTAGCATGAGACCTTTTTCTACAACCCAAAAGATAAAAATGACTCAATAGGATAAAAGACTACCAGGAACAGTTTATCTCCTGCTCAAAATTTCTGTAATCTCTCTGTCATCTCTCTAGGAGTGTTTCTTTCAAGGGGATGTAGGTCCTTTTCCTGTAAATAGATGTTTGACTTCCATTTTCTGACCTATGGTTCACTGTCACCACATGTGTTGCCTTGCTACTTGAAGGCAATTAGCAACTGAGTAACTAATAACTGAGTAACAGGTGTGAAGGCAACTGAGTAACTAGTATGTGTCTATTTCTGCAGGCTATTTAGATTGTGGCTGCCTTTCCTATGTCTCCCACCCTCCAAAATTTGTTGAAATTGCTCTGCTTCAAATTTTCCTTCTCTAATTTTCTCTGCCATTATAAATCTATGTCATTTTCAGTTATTTAATATTGGTGATGTTCCTGGAAGGAAGGGGGAAGGAGCATGTTCTTAGACTATCAACTATATCTGAAGATCTTGCTATTTATCCTGAATAAGTTTATAAAGGCAAATTTGGGGCTACTTACTATTTTTAAGAACCACCTCTAATTAGTTACTTTGTATTGAAATGCTAATTTATAGTAATTTGCCGCTTCTTGCAAAATCTCACTTCAGGATATTCCAGAGATTAGGTCTTTGCCTCTCGGATGTGTTTTTTAATCTAGAAATATGCTGATCAGTATCTATGTGGCACTAATCACTGGTTTAGATCGTTTCAGTGAAAGGAGTTTGAGACAGAGATAGGACAAGGAGCACTTTGGCTCATTTTAGGAGCCTATTACGATTAGAACTTCTTCTCTAAAAGTGTTCACTACAATCCACCTATGTATTCACATTTATTTATCCATCCACCTTTATATACACACAAGTATATGTATATATATATCCCTTTAAAGAAGCTAAATTATTTTTTAGCCTTGGAAACTTAAGTTTAAATAATGTAATCAATTCGCCCTGTGAATTAAATAAATGGCAGAATCAGAATTCAAACTTAGATCTGACAGTTTTCATCTGTAATTATTTTCTATATTCCCATTTTTATGAGTGTCCAATTACAGAAATTTTGAGCAGGAGGCAAACTGTTTCTGGTAGTCTTTTATCCGATTGAGTCATTTTAATCTTTTGGGTTGTAGAAAACTCTCATGCTAAGAAGACTTCCACTCACCATGTAGAAAAGCGGTTCTTTTTGATTTCTTACAATCCTATTTAATTTTTTTTTGAGGAAATAAAATGAATAATTATTACATTTGTTTGCTTACCTTTTTTAGTGGCTGTTTCTTTGAGAGAGAATGCAAATTTATTGGAACTGCTACATTTTCTGCCTTAGACTCTATGGTATCCCCAGGGTTGTCTTCCTTTTTATCTCCAAAGCCGTTACTGATTTTTAACCTGCTTTGCCATTTGCTGATTTCAGATGCTTATTCTTATTATCTGCCTGTCCTTAATAGAAAGTAAGTTCCACAAGGACAGGGATCTTTGTTATCTTTTCTGAGTTATCCTAAATATTGAGTCAATGTTTGACAGACAACAAGACTCAAAAACATTTTTTTAAGAGTGAATAATTAGTACTTACTATGTACCAGACACTACTCATGTTCACTGTGAATCAACTCACCTAAATCTCATTTTAAGACTTAGGAATAGAGCCACAAAGATCAGTAGGATACTGGCCACGTTCCCAATGAAGAAGTGGTAGAGTTAAGATTCAAACTTACATAGTCTGACTCTGGAGCTGAGGTTCTTAAGTTGTTGTATTACTTTGCTGCGCTTCCACTATATAAGAAAATGATAAAAACACTAATTCAAGGTGAGGGATATTTCCAATACACTCTCTTTTCTCAACCATTCCCTAGGAAACAATATGATTTCACATTAAGCCTTAGTGAAAATATAAGTCAGAGTAAGTCTTATTGTAACTGTAGAATAACATAATTTTTGTCTCTTGGTAAATTGATTTTACACCTCAATGAACAGGTAAAAGTGTTTATCTTTGTGGAGCAGGACCCTTTCTGATCCCTTTAAAACATGTACTTCTTCATACATATACATTAAAACTTTATTTTCTCTGATAATTAAATTATCTCCTTGATTTCTTCAAAATGTAGTAGCAGAAAGAGAATTAAATCTAAAACTAGTATTTATAAAAGGACATTATTTAGTGAGAGAAAAGGTAGTTCTTCTATTCTACTTATTCTCTTTAAAGATAAAATGTTTTTGTTGGTTTTGAATAATATAGCTAAAAATCACAAATTCAAGAATTTGTTGTAATATTTTTAGTCTTATTCTAAAATGTTTAGTTTTTGAAGACCTCATAAAAATGAGGAATAGCAAAGTATAAGTACTTTAAATGCGACTATTCAAAGACTCTAACAAAACATTTGACATAATAATCTCTCTTAATGTGTTATTTTTCATTTCTAGACAATTCTAAAGCACTGATATCATTTCTTGCATTTCTGATTATTGTGACATCAATAGCCCTGTTGGTTGTTCTCTATAAGATTTATGATCTGCATAAGAAAAGATCCTGGTAAGAGTTGAATTTATGAATTAAAAAATAATAATAATAGTAATAATGACATAAGCGCATATCCTTAAAGCCATGGTGAAACCGATTAACTGAAATATGTGAACTAGAGGAGACAGCATGAAGTCCAGTTCATGGCATAACTTTTAGCTAAAGACTTTTAATATGGTTCTATGGATTTATATTAAATATCCATATTTTCTACATTTACTAATAAGGCTGTAGACTTGTTTAAGTAATGAGCCATGAAAAGAATGTCTATGCATTATTTTTGTACAAAGCGGGTCAGAGAGATCCAGGAATGAACAAAGCAAAAGAAAGGAAGGAAATATCTGAGAGATTTTATGTATTTGTCCCCAAACAGACACATTTTATTAAAAATCAAAGGTTTAAAATAAAATCGTTTGGTCACATGTCTGAGTTTAGCAGAAAACCCTTGGCTGGTTTTTCCTCCCTCACTTTTTCTTGATCCTCCTCCCCTCTCCTCTCCTCTCTTCTTCAGTCTTCCCTCCCCTCCAGGCTCTCCCCCGCCTTCCTCCTATTCTCTTCCCCTCTTTTATCCTCCCTGACTGCCTTCCTTCCCTCAACACATTCGTTGAATATAAATTGAATGCCAACTGAATTCTCTATTTTTAAAAAAATTCAGAAATTTATGTTTATTTTCACAGCAACTTAGATGAACAACAGGAACTTGTTGAAAGGGGTAAGTATGCAGATGTTTATTTTTTCACTGATGAATATTCCTTCTCCTATATTGAAGGTAATCCATTTTAAATAAGGACTGAACATTTTAATTTAACCCAGACTTTTTCTGTTAATACCATGATAAACATTTCATTAATTCATTTACTCAATTAGTAAGCATCTCTGAAGTTCCCAGTGTATGCCAAATATTGTGCCAGGCATTGAATACTACAGTGAAGGACCACAGACTCTGCCCTTTAGGTTTTAGACTTTACTAGAGAAAGGTGGATACAGTGACAAAAATGACAGTAATTTGATCAATGCCCTAATAGTTGGATGTGTGATTCTACAGAAATACAAAAGATAGAAACTGCATGCAGGGCAGGAATCTGGTTGCTAAGATTATGGGGAAACACTAAATCAAGGAATGAGAAAATGGTGGAGGGAAGAGCAGATGGAAAGTCCCAGAAAAGGGAGGTAAAAAGTATCCTCTCATCCCTGCCTGGATGAGATGGTGACTTCTTTCACATGGACAGGACAAAGAGCAGCAGTTTGACTTAAGCGAGGAAAAAATTCATTTTTTCTCTCCTTTTTTCCCAACTTATACATTTTTTCTTTAATATTTTTAAATATGATTTTTGAACCAGTTAAATTTTTAAAAGAAATAAATTAAAACTGTTTACTATAAGGGAAGCTATTTCTTATTCTCACACTCAAGACAAGAGGACTGGTAGAACTCCTCTGTCAGTGTTAACTTGTATGTGAAGGGCTTTCCTCTGGTAATGGCAGGTGCCACGTTTTTATGCAGAAACTTTGGGACAGGTTTTTTGGGGCTCCTTAATAGACTATATTTTTCTTTGCAGAATGTATCATTACCTAACCTGCTAGTATATGTTCATTTTCTCACTATCTTCCCCTAACTAGAAAGTAAGCTTTGTGAGAGCAGAAAAGTTTTGCTTTCTCATTCACTGCTTTATCCCCAATACCAAAGTGAATGCATTAAATTTAATAAACATCAATGAATAAATACATTAACAAGATTAAGTGTCCTGAGGATTAGTTTTGATAGGCTGAGGGAAGAATGAGGAGCACAAGAGTATTAAGCACCTCAGCAGAGAAGAAGGATCCATCTCAAGGAGTCAAGGCAGACTTGGAGAGTGTCAATGAAATACTTTATCTCAAATTTGATACTGATTACACCTTGGAATGCACTAGAACTTACCCACTCAAACCCCATGAAACTCTGAAGGTGGCTCTCAGTTCAGATTGAATGAACAGCAGTGATCCACAACAACTTGAGCAATTGCAAATGTGCCACCTTTATGGATACCAGAAGGTATCTTCCTCTAATAAATGAGTAAAATTGAAACAAGCACTGAAAGAATACCACCAGCAGGCCAGGCTCGGTGGTTCAGCCTGTAATACCATGCTTTGGGAGGCCGAAGTGAGTGAATTGCCTGAGCCTGCGGGTTCGAGACCCACCTGGGCAACTTGGCGAGACCTCATTTCTACAATAAATCAAAAAAAATTAGCCGGGCATGGTAGTGCACGCCTGTAGTTCCAGCTACTTGGAAGGCTGAGGCGGAAGGATCGCCGGAGCCCAGCAGGTGAGGCTGCGGTGGCCGGGAGTCTGGGCGACTGAGTGAGACTTCAACTCAAAAAAAAAAAGAATACTACCAGCAGTACAAGGAAGAGTAGGCAAAGTATGCTTTTTACATATGTAACAGCTTAAATTCTCTTATTCTTCTAAAACTGTTTCTCAAGTTCCACATGCAATTATAGCTTTTGATAGTTCATATATATTCTTACTCTCTAGTAAGTAATTTTACATAGTAATGTGTTTCACACTCTTGAGGTGTAACAAAGTAATAATTTTTTACATTAGCACAAACAGATGATCAAATCAAGCTGAGTTATGAGTATAAAGGTATTAATTATATTCTCTTATTTCATCTGTAAGTTTATTATATTTCACAAGCTAAAATGAAAAAACTAATTGTAATACAGATAAATAAGTGTGGCAATTACAATTAAATGCATATAATCAAACAAATGTGGTTGTCCTTATAATAGTGATATTTGGTCTGGGATCTTTTCTCCAAGCATAGAAAATAGGGAAGGGCATTCTAGCAGAGGGAACAATATAAAGCCCAGAAAAGTGCTGAAGTAGAAGATTGAGAAGTCATTGGTTTATAGGTGAATGTCTGTGTGTGAGGGAGATTCCTTAGGTGGAATGTGTTTGAAAAGGAAAGAAGCAAAGGGACAGAATTTTCATCATTTTCATGAAATCTGTGTGCCCATCTGAAAGCTAGACATGTAACTAGTACTGAAGCTTTCATTTGTATACAGATGATGAAAAGCAACTGATGAACGTGGAGCCAATCCATGCAGATATTTTGTTGGAAACTTATAAGAGAAAAATTGCCGACGAAGGAAGACTTTTTCTGGCTGAATTTCAGGTGCGTTGCTCTTATTGTGTGATGAGACGTTCTGCTTAAATATCAAGATAATTTCACTTTAAATGTATTGATATAATCATTTGCCTTTATAACTTACTTCACATAACATCACAACATAATAAAAGCAGATGTTATTTGCAGGAATTTACAGACCAGAAGAGAGTCTTATAGAGGTTGGCAAGATCACAACATAAAGCTAGCACATATTTTAACATAATGCTTTATTGTTTTATGAGACTGTGTCACAAAACATATTTGACTGATTTTACACTTCCACCTAGATTATCATCCAAGTGTCTGTTTTTAAATAAATTTTAAAGTGACAGGACAATTAATTCTAAATTTACCCTCATTCATGAGATTTTTCTGGAAGTAGTCCATCATTAACTTCTTTTTTAAAAAAGTGTTTTTTTCATGATTCCTAATAATGTTAATTTTAATTGCCACAAACAACTTGTTTATCAGTATGAAGAATATACAAAGGGGGACCCAGAAGAACCCAGGATTAATTTATTAAAAATTGTGTATTTATTCTTACATGTTTAAACTTCAGTCATCTTCAAAGTACTGTCCATTTGATGCAATACACCTATTGAGGTATTTTTTCCACTGCTCAAACAGTTTTTGAATACTTCAATTTTGATACCATTTTCCTGTTTCACCTATTCAATATCCACAAAACATTTCCCTCTGAGAACTTTTTTCATCAGGGAAACAAAAATGTCACTGGGGCGAGACCAAGTGAATAGGGAGGTTGGGCACAGGGTCGTGCAGTTCTTGTTCAAAAACTGGAAAACACTCAGCACACTGTGGGCAGGTTCATTGTTACAGTGGGAGAACGAGTCACCTTTTTGCCACAACTCAGGACATTCCTTCTGCAAATCTGATGCAACCTTCTAAAAAGTTCCAGGTAAAAACGCTGGTTCACTGTTTGATCCGGAAGAACAAATTCTCAATGAACTTCAAGGAGCCCACCCTCTAACAGATAACTCTGACTATTTGGAGGTCCCCCCCCTTGTGTTCTACAAGACATCTCATTGGCTCAAAATGATCATTGGTAAGGAAGAAATTATTTTTCCTGAGTCAGCTGTGACCCAAAGAATCCTTGTGTCTTTCAGAGCATTCCACGAGTGTTCAGCAAGTTTCCTATCAAGGATGCCAGAAGGTCCTTTAACCAGAACAAAAACCGTTATGTTGACATCCTTCCTTGTGAGTACTCATTGAGAACTGAATTTCCATGTATTTAGGCCACTTGATGATTTATTATTTTACTTGTTCATTTTTTCTTTTCTTTAAACAGATGATTATAACCGTGTTGAACTCTCTGAGATAAATGGAGATGCAGGGTCAAACTACATAAATGCTAGCTATATTGATGTGAGTAAAAATAGCATAACTGCCAAGCTGCATAATACCATCATTATTTTGTCCTTTTTCCTGTGTCTTTGTATTCAATTCAGTTCAGTTTGTCTTGGCAAAATTTTCAAAGTATTTTGCAATTAGCTTGTCATTGTTATAAACAACAAAATCAGTAACATTTGCAAGAATAGCTATTTATTGTCATGTTTAGTGGCTCATGCCCAATATTGGCACTTTTGAAAGCTAAGGTGGGAGGATTTTTTTGAGGCTAGGAGTTCAAGATGAGTCTGGGCAACAAAGCAAGACCCTGTCTCTAGAAAAAATAAAAAACAAATAGCTGGGCATGGTGGCACGCACCTGTAGTCTTAACTATTCTTGAGACTGAGACAAGAACAGGATCTACTGAGCCCAGGAATTTAAGGCTGCACTCTAGCCTGGGTGACAGAGTAAGACCCCAGTTATAAAAAACAAAACAAAACAAAATTAGTTATTCATGTGCCTATTGGTATGAAGTATAGCATAGATTTTTCTCTGTGAACAAAATTACACTAAGGATTAATATAATATACTCTGGTGCCTATTATGTGCTGGATATTAGACTAAATGATTCATGCATGTATTTCTCTTAAGTTCACATTTGTCCTGGCTGTGTACAGTATGCTCAGTGTATAGGTGAGGACTGGGAGACTGAGTTTAATTAGTTACCTTGTTCTTGTTCACCCAACTGGTAGAGATCTGATTTGAGATTCAACCCAGGTCTCCTGTACTCCAAATTGGTGTCCTTTGATGACATAATACCGTATTTCAGCAGACACTCTTCATTGACACAGATCATCTGTTTGTTGGATTAATCCCAAAATGTAAATGTCTGCACATGGTTAATGTATTCAAAATATTTTAAAATTTAATTTATTATAGAAATGTTAATTAATGCATCACACAAGTTAAATAATTATAAACAACATAAAAATATAGACAGACTGAAAAAAATCTTTTTCTCACTGATCTGACATTTTCTCAGTGTCTTCACCTACCAGAAGAAATAACTATATTTTATACTCAAGTATATATGGCAATTATTGTCTCAGGTTATACTTATGTTTCTCCAGCATAGCTTGGGGCTCCTGGAAAGCATGTGTCTTCAGTTTACGGATAGGTGCTTTACATATTGTCACTGTTCAATAAATACTTGTTATGTCAATAATAAATAACATTGTATAATGAGATAGAAGTTTCAAGAAATTCTTGAGGTTAATCATAAATTATTGTGGCCCATATACTAAATCTTTTCTGAAGAGCTCTTTTCATTGTTGAAGTGAATTTAAGGAAGATGAAATAAGCCTAGAATAAACTAGTATAATATCTTATCTGTCTCTGTATTCTTTTGTCTTAGTAACAGGAGCAGTGAAAGCAGACATTGTAGATAATGAACTGAAAGATATTCTATCTCTTATCTGTAAAGACAAAAACAGAGTCTAGAGAATCAGTATATTCCAGCAATAGTTAAGAAGTAGAAGGGCAGATATAAACCCAGAATGACTTATTGAAAGAAATTGAACAAAAAATCTTCGAAAGTAACTGCATGCCTGATCAGGAGGGTTTAAAACTGTTAGATGATGTTTTAAGTGTCGGCAAGATATAAAATGTAGGGATGTCTGGATTATTCTTGCAAACTGTTACACCATCCCAGATAAAGAAGAAATTGAGTTTTTAAAGTTGTTTGGAATATACAACAAAGATACAGAAAAGTCATAAATATTCTTTGCAAATGCTAGCTAGCATGTTTAGCACAGTTAAATGCCTGATCTTGGATTAGACACCCTTAATAATTTGAAAACGCCCAGGGAAATTCACAAAAGCAACTTCCTCTAAATCACAATTTTGCTTGTTAATGAATAATTGAGTGTCCAGTAAAAGACATATCTTTTTGTGTGTTTTGAACAGGGTTTCAAAGAACCCAGGAAATATATTGCTGCACAAGGTAATTATTTGATAATCCAAAGAAAAATTATTTTATAACACTTTTGAAAAAATATTTCTTATCAGCTAGTACTTGTTTACATCCTAGGTCCAAGGGATGAAACTGTTGATGATTTCTGGAGGATGATTTGGGAACAAAAGGCCACAGTTATTGTAATGGTCACTCGATGTGAAGAAGGAAACAGGGTAAGAGCTCAGAGGATTCATATGGGGAGGTTGGGGTTAGGAAAAATGTAAGATCGCATTTTGAAAGGCCACATATATGTGCTTGATGACTAAAGCAGATAAGCTTTCTATTTTAATGTGTTAACATTTGATTTAAATTTTTTATACATGTAGAAATAAAATGTATCCATATGTAAATATATATCCATATGCATACAATTTAAATGCTTCTGCTTAATTGCTAGGCTTTTATTTAATTCTTGCTTCTTTGCAGTATTATAAATTCAGTACATTTTGATGAGCTAACTTCACAAGTTATTTGTAAATACTAGAAACAAAACTGATCTTAGGCAGCAAGGTGGTATGTCATGCAATGTGACTTTAGAAGGAGTAAAAGCCTCTCTGTCAGCTAGGCTGAAATTAACCATAAGAGATCACAACCTTTTTTGTCGACCACTGAGTGTGTCCTCTTTTGACATGCAGCTAAGCCTGGGAAGGTTATCCTTCTAAGTAGTGTAAATGGAATTCTTCGGGACTCATTAATGGGAACTAGATATATTTTAAGCATCACAACTTAAGGTGTATATGTGCTTAAAGAAAAAATATGCAAATATTTTGAGAATGTAGGATGAATAAATTTGGGGTTTTTTAAAAAGTTTAATAATATTTTGTTTAAATTAAAAACTGAACTATTTAATGATTTTTTAAAATATAGAACAAGTGTGCAGAATATTGGCCATCAATGGAAGAGGGCACTCGGGCTTTTGGAGATGTTATTGTAAAGATTAACGAACATAAAAGATGTCCAGATTACATCATTCAGAAATTCAGCATTACAAATGTGAGTTTGTTTTTTGACACAATTTTTGTTTTGATACTGTTTTAATAAAAATATAATTATGGAGTATTAAGTGTGAGGAATTCAGGAAAAAACTATTTTTAATGACCCTTAGCATGAAAAATTGGGTTAGAACAATGACACAAGCCAACAGAGTCAAAGTTAAGACACTGGTTAAGAAGTGTTTGTCCAGGTCAAATCAAAATAATTAGTATGTTATGATCTTCGAAATATTTTTAAAAAGAAAAGATCCATTAAGCATATTAAATAAATCTTTGGATTATTAAATGAATAAACAATTTGCCCTTATTCTCAATGGGTTCTTATCCTTATGAAAAGAATATACAAATGGCACAGCTAGAGAACACTGTAGGAAGTATAAAGTTCTCAACTGTAGCAGAGATAGAATGTAGTTCAGAAAATAAAGAGGTCAAAGTGGCCTTAGATAATAGTTAAAATAGAGGTCATCAAATGCATTATATAATTCCATTTATATGAAAAGCCCATGATAGGCTGCCCTATAAAGACAGAACATAGATTCGTGGTTGCCTGGGGCTCAAGGGGTTGAGCAGAAAAGAGAAGTGGCTGCTAATGGGTACAGGCTTTCATTCTGTGGTGACAAAAATGTTCTCAATTAGATAGTGGTGATGGTTGTATCACTCTGTGAATATAATAAAAACATGGAATTGTACATTTTAAACAGGTGAACTTTATGGTTTGTAAAATAAATCTTGTTAAAGTTGTTTAAAAATACAGGCCTTTATACAGGCGTTGATATTTTCTCTGAATTCCATTTGTGGAAGTGCTTTTGGTAATCTAATTTGTATTTCTATATAGTCTAGATATATTTTGTAGAAGAAAAAAATCAATTTATTGTACATTTCTCCCAAGACTTTCTTAGCTCCCATGACACTATGAACTGCTGTGCCTGTGGAGGGTTGTGAAACAATCTTACCCATGGTTTCTGGTTAAATGATCCATGGATGTGGGGGCACATTTAGAGGTTGATGCCTATCTGGTTACGTTGAAGAGTCTTGGGTTACTGTTTTCAATCAACTCAGTTATTTCCTATCAGAAAATTATAACCAACATTTTTCTTCTTCTTTTTAAAAGGTTTTTTGTTTGTTTCTTCTGTTATATAAATGTAGGTGGTACTTCATACCTGTTCAGAATTATGACTTATGCATCTTCTTTAAATTAGGACAAACCTGAGCTGTAATCTGGGGCTGACTTTTATGACTCTACTATGTGAGAGCCTAAAGAATACATGTTAACCAAATAATTAATCAGACTTTCTTCACATGAGAGATAGTCATGTTTGCTGATCTACCAAGCAGAAGTACTCTAAACAGCTGTGAGAAAGACCTTTACTTTATATAATATTTTCATACACACACCCAAGCCCTCACTTACTCACTTTTTTTGGTGTATGTGTGTTTTTGTTTTTTTGTCTTGGCAGCACGCAGGTTTCTAGGAGTCTGAGTTGTGTTTTGGGGTCAGGGGAGGGAGTAAGTTATTGCTTACTGGGTAGTGCATGCAAGTCCTGCATGATATCTTAATCACTAATTATTAATTGAAAAGGAGTATGCAACCATGGCTGAGAAGAGTGATAGGCTGCCTGAGAAATTTATGTACTCTTTAGAGCAGTTAACACTTGCATGAGAAGTTTTTTGTGCTAGTCCTTCCACTTACTTATGTTGTATAGTTTACTTTAAAAAAAATCACTTCAAAGAAAATATTATTTCTTGACTAGAAAAAAGAAAAAGCAACTGGAAGAGAGGTAACTCACATTCAGTTTACCAGCTGGCCAGACCACGGGGTGCCTGAAGATCCCCACCTGCTCCTCAAACTGAGAAGGAGAGTGAACGCTTTCAGCAACTTCTTCAGCGGTCCCATTGTGGTGCACTGCAGGTAAACACTAAAGGACCCTAGCAGCCTGCTCTGGGCCTAGTGGAATCCCTCTGCCTTGGGCTGTTAGGAACACCCTCACCTTTGGCAATTGCTATTTCTCTACAGGAGAAACTTTTATTTTTATCTTTGCTTCACACTAGACGGCTTTTCTATTCCTTTCTCTGCCATGATCATACCTTCATTTTGTTTTGTTTTGCTTTGCCAGTGCTGGTGTTGGGCGCACTGGCACGTATATTGGAATTGATGCCATGCTGGAAGGCCTGGAAGCTGAGAACAAAGTGGATGTTTATGGTTATGTCGTCAAGCTAAGGCGACAGAGGTGCCTGATGGTTCAAGTGGAGGTACGTCCTAATCCATAGTGATGATTCTCGCTTTTTCTTTGGACTTAAATCTTTTCAAGGTGGCAGTAATGCTCTTAAAAGAGATCCAAATTTTTCACAACTTCAAACAGTGGGTGAAAATAGTCTTCTTTTAATTTCCCGAAAATGAAAACATGTGGCGATCACCAGGCATAGTTAGAAGCATTTTGCATTAGTGGCTAAAAGTACTGTGGAAGAAGGGTGACCATAAATATATTTTTAAAAAACAATGAAATACCATTTACACATATTATATTGGGGGAAAAAAATAAAAACACTAAAAACAGATTTTACACCATCTCATAAACTTGACATCATCTCATAAAATTAAAATTGAAGAGACCAAATAGTATAGTGGTCAAGAGCCTGGTTTTTGCAACTAGACTTTCAAGTTTCAAATCTTGATTTGAATTAATAGTATGCAACACAGGTTGCATAGTCACATAATAGTTGCCCACAAGTGCATAATATTAGGTATTTATTAATAGTTTAAATTGTTCTGTGCCTCAGTTAAATAATCTGTAAAATGGAGTTCATGATAATACTTACCTCACAGACTTATAACAAAAAGAGCAATGCAAGTAAAGCACTTAAGTCCCTAGCACACGTCATGCGTGAGGTGATTGTAAAGGATTATTATTATTGAAAATGTCAGTATTTGACTCAGCAATATCACATGTATGCATACAGCTAACTGAAACACTTACAAATATGCACAACTAGAAACATGTGCAAGAATGTGCACTGCATTCAGCAGTGTTAGAATAGCAAACAAATGTAAATCTCTATTGGGTTCTGGGCAAAAAGAATGTGGATGTGTGTACTCTTTATACAATAAATGCTATTCTGTACTTGAAAGGAATAATATAGGTCTATGTCTGTCTATTTATGTCTATCTATTTGAATAGATACTCAGCAGAAAACAATGAGTGTATGAAGTTGCCAAATGAAGCATACAGAATACAATTTATGGAACTCTTTAAAACACACACAAAATGTTTGTATGTTTATAGATACATGGATAGTAGTGCAGACGTATAACAACAGATTTGTTAACCAGAAAAAAAGAAATAATTTTCTTTGGAAGGATACAGCCAAACTTAGGGAACTAGAGGCTATAGTTAAAGAGACTTATCAGAAATGTGCCATTTATTTGAAAACATTGCATTCAAATATGGTAAGTATTTAGGATTATCTAAATTGGTTTAACTATTGGATTTAATTTTTTTCTATTTAAAAACGTTCTAGTAAACTTTAAAGTAATGTATTCTATGGAATACCAACTTGATTTTCTTCTCAGATTTATTGTAAAATGTATTATAGTTTTACTTATTAGTAATTTGACTTACTAACTCAGTAGTAATCACTGAAGGAAGTAATAGACAATATTACTTAAGTTTTAGGAATAAAGTAAAAGATAAAAGCTATGTAATGCAGAGTATATGGATAATCTTGCAAACTATTTTTTATTAAAAAAAGAATCTAAAATGAAATTTGCTCATGTTCTGGAAAAGTCTGAGAATCAACGTTCAGAATATTTAAATATTTTAGATATCATTTTTCTTTCCCATACATTGTACCAATATGAGCAAAATTATGGGGCACATATTTTATTTAAATGTGACTTATAGGAGTCTAAGTGAACAGTTAATTGCCTGAATTTTTCTTTGAAATTGTAGGCACAGTACATCTTGATCCACCAGGCTTTAGTGGAATACAACCAGTTTGGTGAAACAGAAGTGAACTTGTCTGAATTACATCCGTATCTACAAAACATGAAGAAAAGAGATCCACCTAGTGAGCCATCTCCTCTGGAGGCTGAATTCCAGGTAATACCAGTGATAACAATATTGATAATTATAGGCAACTTCTATTGAATGCTGTCTGTTTTTCAGGATTTGCTGTGTACTTGACATAGTTCTTGCATTTGGCCCTCATCATAAGTAATGGAGCACAGATGAGGAAACTGGGACACAAAGAGTTGAGAGAAATGCCAGAATTCATATAACTATTATGTAGGAGATTTGTTTAAACCCAGAAATCTGACTCAGCCGCTAACACTTATAACCATTCCTCATTAAGCTGGTAATAAAATAAAGTGTGAGAATAATAGTATATAGCCACAGATTTGGTCGGCCAAAGTCAGCGTAGCATATAACCATTAAAAGCCATATCTGACTTTGGTTTGTAAAGGAAATAATTAGAGGAGTTTATGCTTGCTTAGGAAGTTGAACTGGCTGGAGCTGGTAGACAGACAGTAGAGGATAAGTACATATGTCCCAACCTATTTATTAGGTAATTATTCTGACAGGTAACCTAGGATGTAGTTCACTATGATTTCAGAGAGTTGGCATAGGAATCCTCAGGTGACTCAGTTGTCACAAAAATGTTCTGTAATTATCTGTTCCACCTATGATTTCCAGCTTACTGAGTCTTTCTGTAAAGTCCCAAACCCAGTCAATTGGAAATTTGGAGACTGTCACAACAAGACCAAGAATGTGCTTTTAATCAGATGCAGAACCATTTAACATTTAGGATCAAAGTGGGGCTAAGTAGGGCTAAGGTGGGGGGTGGTGGTGGTAGAGTATGCACTAAACACCAAATGACTCAATCCCCACAAGATCTGTACTTATAGTGGAGAGTTAGTCAGCACAGGGTTGTCTTAAACAGAGATGTGTGTTATTGTTGTCTTGTTGCTTTTTTTTAGCTGATAAAATTAACCATATTCAACACACTAACTTACCTACTAATTTACATATACACACGTGCTATTTGGAAACAGTTATACATTTAAGTTAAACATCCTTATGAATGCTCATTTCCTAGAAGAAAGAGAGTATTTTCTCACTGAACAAATATGATTGAGTTTCTGCTCTGGGCCAAGTACAATTCTAGGCACAAATGTAAAAGTAATTTGCAGGTGGACAGAAGGAAACGGCACAAGAGAGTGTGATTCAGATTACAGATAATGGCTAACCCTGATGGAAGCAGTGACATTATTTTATCTGAGCAGACAGGAGATGAAGGTAGAGATGCAGTTTGGTTGATAAATTTGGTGATAGGAAGTTGAGGAGATTCTTGTCTGATTGTCTTTCATTTCTCAAACTAAATTTGAGAGTTGAAGTGTACAGGAATGAGTAGGGTAAAGAAAAGCTTAGTGCTTGAGTTGAGGAAGAGAAAGGTTTTGAGCTAATTACCTCAAAATAGGAAAGCAGTCTTCCTAGGCAGAGGTAATAAGTCTGCCAGAAATTATTTTTGATCGATGAAAATTTATAGTCATGAATTTAAAGAAGAATCAGTCAGTTGATTGTATTATTTTCTATAGCAGCATTGTGTTCTCTAGGGATGAAGGCTGTGTATGCACATAATTGGGTTACACCTATCTAGATTTTGAAAAATGACTATTTGAAAGTTATGAAGGAAAAGAGTCTAAGATATTTATACATGAATGATTATGGCAATGGTCAATAAAGAGTGAATTGGCCACATGAAGGATATGAGAGAAAGCAGTAAGGACAATATGCTGGAGATTTTGATAGAATTGCAGATTGCTAGAGTGAAGATACTAGAACAAATGATTAGGAAGAATAGAAATAATTCTCTATAACAAGGATGGTGAAAATCATGATTGTAGAATTGATACCATGTTTAGAATGAAGTTTGCAAAAGTAGAATAATGCAAGTGGATGTCTGAGGAGTGGAACGTCTTGGGAGGTGAAGAAGCTAAGAAATGAAGACAGTAGAGAGTAGTAGTGTGGATTCATCATTCTTGTCAATGTTGAAGTAACCAAGAATGATGACAGACCTCAAGGGGAAGGGCACACAATGAGCCAAGTCTAAAACTAAACGAGGTGGAGAGGTCTAGGTAAAAGGCAATGGATAGAAGGTAGTATAATATGATGGCAGAAAACTCAAAGTCATTGCGTTTTTTGAAGGATAAATGAGTGGAAATGTTTTGCAAGTAGAAGCAGAGGGCAAAATGAACTCATATATATTGTTAAAGTTGTGGGGTGGAATGTGAAGAGGGAATTCAACTTTTTCTTTAAGGGCTATGGTGTTCTTGGTGGTATCCTCAAATGACACTTGGTTCCACTTGGTACAAAAAAAAAAAAAAAGCAAAAGGTAAAAGAACCATTGGGAGAGGATGATTCAGATGGACAAGAGTTTGCTGATGATAGACCAAGAGCACAGAAGAGCAGAGAGGAAGGCAATATTGGTAAGATGTAAGAGGCTAAGTTATATTTGAAGAAGCAAGTAATCAGTAATAAAAATCGGTGACTCAGCCTGTAATCCCGCGCCTTGGGAGGCTGAGGTGAGTGGATTGCCTGAGCCTGCTGATTCGAGACCCGCCTGGGCAACTTGGTGAGACCTCATCTCTACAATAAATAAAAAAAAAATTAGCTGGGCGTGGTAGCGCGCACATGTAGTTCCAGCTACTTGGAAGGCTGAGGCGGAAGGATCGCCGGAGCCCAGCAGGTCGAGGCTGAGGTGGCCGGGAGCGGCCACTGCACTCCAGTCTGGGCGACAGAGTGAGACTCCAACTCAAAAATTAAAATTAAAATTAAAAGAATAAAAAATAAAAATAAAAATCTGGGAAATGTGGATGTATTAAGAGGCTTAGACTTGTGGTGTCAACTGAAATGAGCAGAGATCAAAGAATTAAAAATCCTTAGTGTCTTACATGAAGTTGAACCAGTAGTTTCACCTGTAGTCCTGGGTAGAAGCTACAGGGTACAAGCTACTGTGTAACCACTCTCAAAAGAACACAAGTTGTTGTGGTGCTTTTCAAGGCATTGGCTTTTCATGTTGCTCATAGTGGAGTTCAAGTGACCTGGTATTCAGTGATGATTTTTTATCTCATTCAATTACACAGCCATAAGTGGAATTTGAAGCAGTCTACCACATTTAGTTTGAAAGAGGACATCACATTGAAAAAATACTTATGTTTACAAATTCACATACATACATGCATGTGTGTGTATAAAATCTTACTGAATTGTGCATGAGAAGCTTTCTCAGTTTAGGCTATTCATAATATTGAATATCAATTGCCATTATTATTAAATATTATTCACTTGATAAACATTTATTTAATAACTAGTAGAAAGAGAAGACAGCTGGCAGGGAGGTCTTCCAGAAGAAATTAACTTATAAATTGATACCTAAAGGATAAGAAAAAATTATCAGAGTAACCGGAAGGGAAGAGAGTAGTTCAGGCAAAAGAAACACCACCTGTTTGTCAAAAATTAAAGAACTCTTTCGTCCTTCCAAGAATTGAGATAGTTGGTTTGACTGACGTTTGTAGGGACCTATAGAGATGAGACTGAAGAGATAGTCAGGGCCATATCAGTAAAAAATTTTCATGCTGCATTGAGATTTGCTGCTTTCTAATGACGATGGCAAGTTGCGGAGGATCTTTGGAGGGACATATTCTGTTTTAGAAGTATTAGAGCAAACAAGATTGAAGACAAAGATATCAGTTAAAAAACTGTTGATGTTTTCCAAATGAGGAATGAAGGTTGACCAGACTAAGTAGGAGGAGAGAAAGGATTTGTGAGCTTCACCTGTAAAAATGATAGATCTTTTCTGACTGATTAGCAACTGTGAGAGGACAAGCAATCAAAGTGTCTACAGATGAAGAATCAATTTTCTAAACAGTTGCCAAGTCTTCTATGAGTGCTGTTTCTTCATGGTTTATTTCTGATAATTTAAAATAATTTTCATGGTTTATTTCCGATAATTTAAAATAATTTACCATTGCTTTTACATTATGGATCAACATCAGTGTAATGTTTTCAGTGTATATAAGTATAACTATATGACTTTGCTTTCAGGCCGGTCTTGCGGAAGAAGCATATTGTGTTATATCATTGTATATTTTTAGTTCAAACTTACTATGTCAAAAGTACTAAATGCTTGAGAAATTCATAGAAAAAATTCGGAGACAAACTTCAAAATTATAATTGATAGAGTGTATAAGCAAATTTCACAAAAATTAATAAAATGCTTTTTAAAGAAGGAGTATCTTAGGGCTCAATAATAAATTAAGCCAATAAAATATATTTTAAAGAAGTTTTTCATTCTATTTTTTTTCCTCAGAGACTTCCTTCATATAGGAGCTGGAGGACACAACACATTGGAAATCAAGACGAAAATAAAAATAAAAACAGGAATTCTAATGTTATTCCATGTATGTGGTCTATTTTTTATTTTATTTTTTGAATCAAATAAAGTAAAACTGTCTTTTAGATTTGTTTAATGTGAGACACACACATACAACTGATTTTGCAGCAAGTTTTTAACATTTGGTTGACAATGGGTAAGAAGATACTAGGTGATGAAATTTTAGTTACGGCAAATACTCTAAACCCCAAATAGTTACAAGTAACTTTGGAAGATAGACTATATTTAATATTTTCTTTCTACCAATTATTTCGGAAATTGGTTGTCAGAAAGATGAAAGCCCCTGAAGCTTGAGAAAAAAAATCAAGTGCCTTTTACAAAATCTCTCTTTTTAGTTGATTTCAGTTATTTACTCCAGGGTAATTGCCAAATAGCAAAAATTACATCGACTTGTTATCTTTATGTTTCCTTTTTATTCCTTATATTCGTGAGGTTCAAAGTAGAGGGAAAGTACTCTATAAACTATAAATCATCATATTTAACAGATTAAATATACAGTTTTTTAGACTTGAATTCTACTAATTAAGTATATTGATATGAACTCACCTGATGCAACTATAATTTAATTCAGCTGCATATACTAAAATAAGCATGGATAAAATATAACCTGAGCTAATAAACTAGACAACCAAATAAATCAGATCAGTGCATGGCTGACCTGGTTAATTTCTGAAGTCCTTATGAATATCGGTAAAAATATGGAATTGATGATGTAATTAATCACATCATTTTATCAAGTTTTAAAGAAATTGAGAAACAGTAAAAAATATGGACTAAATAATTTTTTGGACTAAATAGTAATTAATTATTTAACTAAGATTGTTAATGTAATGTTAGTGGTATATAATTAAGAGACAAGAATCTAAGTTTTGCATTTTTTAACTTATATCAAGTACAATGATGATATTCCATAAAAAACTCGCATGTATGTATCAAATATTAAATAATTATATGGAATGTCATATCTATTTTTTGTTTAATATAGAGTTATGTCCCATTTTTGAATCCTTTTGAGACTTTACTTTTCTTAGACTTTTTTTGTAATTTGTTGATTACACTTTCTTTGTAATTTGTTAATTAGCGAGTTCTAACTTTTAAGTAGGATCTTGTTTCATTTAGATCAATCAATTTACATTAGTTCCTTTTAAAATACTTTAAAATTTCCACGTGACAATGAACTAGAAATTTGATTTTTTTAAAGGAAGACTTACTACTAATTTATCTTACATAGATGATTTTAACAGAGTGCCAATTAAACATGAGCTGGAAACCAGCAAAGAGAGTGAGCATGACTCAGATGAGTCCTCTGATGATGACAGTGACTCAGAGGAAACGAGCAAATACATCAATGCATCTTTTATAATGGTAGGTTCTTAAATTTCCAAAACCCAGAATTGAACTCTTTTATGAACTTATCTATGTTATTAGGGCCATTTACTAAAGAATGAGGAACTTGGTTGTAGTTACATATTGATTGACATGAAAGTTTCAGTGTTTAATGCTATATTTTAACTTATTGAAAGATTTTTAATAATAAAACCTAATGAGTTGATATAAAATAAGACAATGCCATTGGTTATATTTTATGACAAATATGCTATAATTATATTAATTTTAAATATTATTTTGAGCAAATACAAGTTCTTGAAAATGTTTATACTTACTCAAATGCCCAAATTGTAGTCAAATCCAAATTTCTATATTTTATAGTTAGAAACTTTTCATTCAAATTAACTGACTTATTACATGAGTCTCTGTTACATACTTTTTTTAAAAAAATGAACTAATAATTCAAACAAGGAAAGGTTTTGTCACTCAGTGAATAATTATTGCATATCCACTAAGTTGGAGTTAGTTCTTTTGCAAGTTTTTCTAAACACATTTTCACATAATATTAGCTTAATTACAAGCTATCACAAAAATGTATAGACATCAAGTAAAGACATAACAAAGAAAATTTGAGATGCTGATGTTATTTCTTTTTACAATCACAATAACTTTCATAGAGAAAAGTAAGGTATTTTGGGGGAAGGAAAATTTTGTTTATTTTGCAAGATAGTGTGTCCTAATCTTGATTTCATATTATTAGCTAATTAGTTGAATACATATTTTCATATAGCTATTTATGTTTGTTCTTGGACCTAAAAATTTTAATATTTTTATGTAACAATATTGACACTGAATTAAGTGACTGAGTTTCCAAATGGTTATTTGAAGAACCTACTGGACTCATTTCCGTTAACAGTAATAACAAAGTTCATCTTTTCTTTTTTTTAAGAGTTATTGGAAACCTGAAGTGATGATTGCTGCTCAGGGGCCACTAAAAGAGACTGTTGGTGACTTTTGGCAGATGATCTTCCAAAGAAAAGTCAAAGTTATTGTTATGTTGACAGAACTACAACATGGAGACCAGGTATAAACTTTTGAGGATCTTTTTTCTTTAAAGTCTCCCTGTGATAAAATATCATTCTACACTTAGGTAGTGCTTGCTTGGTTGTCATACCTGCATCTTTTTGGCCCCCATATCACACAACTCCATTTGTTCAGTCTCACACCATTCATTCTGGTGTTGGTCTCCCTTAGCTGTGTCTGGATTCTGACCATATCTTGTTTCTTCCCTCTCCAGCCTGGCACATTGCTTACCAATTATTCAGGATGCATCAGGCCAATGTCACAACAAACAACAGCTACGGTTTCACTCCATTTTCCTCAAGATAAAAAATGAGACACCTTGTGTGCTATTTAAGATACCCAACAATCAAACCTTCCCATATCTTTCCATCTTTGTCTCATTTTATAGTTTACATACTCTCCAGTATACACAACCAGGTTTCCTGCCTGGGTCTTAACACACCAACTGCATTTTCATCACTGAGTCTTAATTTATTGATATTCTATATACTTGAATGTTCCCTCTCTTCCCATTTTGACCCTATTCTTTTAATAAGACCAAACTCCTGAAAACTTCATCTACATCCTTCCTTCTTTCCTCCCATGTTCTGTTTATTGCCATAAAATTCAATAGTTGAAGGTGAACCTTAGACATAATTTAATATTTTACTTAATGCTTGTGACAAGTATTTCATTCATTTCTTAATATCATGAGTTATTATTGAAATTTCCCTGGTGGTAGATCTTACTTAGCACCTACCACATTATCTGACATTAAGGCTTATCCAATGAATAACCTTATAAGCATGCAATAAGATTTATGATTTATAATGCCTTTCTCTTTCTTTCATCTCTCTTTCATCTGGTGCCCTTATCCTGTATGTAGAAAGTCACCTTTTAATTTTTTGTTTGTTTTTAAAGAAATATATGTCCAGATTTCTGGTGTGAAATTTCAGCAAGTTTTTTCTTCGTGTAAACTGTGGAAGCCAGCAAATAGAATGAAAGTGCAGACAGGAATGCTTATTGTCAGAAATTGTGGGGTTGTACTTGGTGGAGTACAGTTTGCATAGAAAGGAAATGCTTTTGTGATTCACCTGCTCTTAAACCTGGCCCTTTAAGTTGATATTCAGTCAACATATATAGAGCTGCTCATTGTGTTGGTCAACAAATTATAGAGAAAACTCCAAAAGATGAGTTCTCCTTCCTCAAGGACCAGTGGAAGAATTGGAGATCTGAGTCAGTACAGGGGTCATGAGCAGCATAGGGTCTTATCAGCTATAGATTTTGAAGAGGTGGTGATAAGGATATGGGTGGGACCAACAACTCTCAGAGACCTATACTAGGGAAGACAGTAGTTCTGGTGGTGTCCCATCCACCTTTATTATGCCCAGGTTCTTCTTTCTTGCCCAAGGAAGCACCACATATTTATTAAATGAGTCTCCATCACTTAAAGTAGATTTTGAATTTTTATGAGCATGTTTCAATATTAGAAGACAATTAACGATTTCTATTTAATAGAAAAGAGGAGAAAGCAGAGAAAGAGAGGGAGAGGGAGAGAGAGATAGTCTAAATACTTTAAATAGCAAGAACACTTGTGTAGAAGTTGTTGAACCATCTCCTTATTTATCTAGGAAATCTGTGCTCTGTACTGGGGAGAAGGAAAGCAAACATACGGAGATATAGAAGTTGACATGAAAGATACAAACAAATCTTCAGTTTATACCCTCCGTATCTTTGAACTGAGACATTCCAAGGTATGGAATCAATTTCAGGAGTTTACATTGTTGACGTAATTGATCTCATAGCAAAAGTAACATAAATTACTCCATACAAGCAAAGCCATCTATTTAATGTTTCAGAATACAGTTTGCGAATTATTTAAATGAAAGCAATTGTGAAGAATATGCAACTATCAAGTTATAAAATAGACTGAATTTCACGAGCGTTAATGTTCCCTTCACTTCTAATTTTAGAGGAAAGACCCTCGAACTGTGTACCAGTACCAATATACTAACTGGAGTGTGGAACAACTTCCTGCAGAACCTAAGGAATTAATCTCTATGATTCAGACCCTGAAACAAAAACTTCCTAAGAAGAATTTCTCTGAAGGGAATAAGTATCACAAGAGTGCCCCTCTCCTCATTCATTGCAGGTGGGTGGGTTTTGATAAGATATACTCTAAAAATCATAATGCTTGACTTCTTGGCTCATATTTTCTCTTAAGTTCTAGTTATCCTCATGTACAAGATACATAGCCACAATTAAAACCTCTTATGGAGTCAGTCACTCTCTTAATTATGTTCCCACAGCACAACTATAATAGCAAGGAAACAGAAATGATTCCACTATAGTGCAATTATTTTAGACTGTGTCATGCCATTTTTGATTCTTCAGTACTAGCCTTGACCCAGGAATGTCATTTGTCCTGAATAAATTAATGAATGCAAGGATATGTAGACAGATGGATATCAAATGAAATACACACTTATATGCACTGATCCACTCTTCTAGGCATCACAGAACTAAGACTGACTGCTTTGTCTTTAATAAGCATATCTTAAGTTAAATAAGTGAAATCTCAAAGCTTGACAATTTTGATTTGAAACCCATTATTTAATTTTCTAAACCGACTCAGAGGGCAAACGTTGTATAATATAGATAGTATTACTTGACTTACAAGTTTCTCTTGCACAGATCTTAAATTTCATCTGTGATATATGCCTACATATTCACCTTAAATAAGTGATATTGAAGAAGGATGTATAATAAAACTTTTCATGAAAAATAATATTGAAGTAAATGAGAAATGAAAACCAATTAAGTAAAATGAGAAATGTAAATCTAGTGAAATGCTTTTAGAATTTTTGAAAAAGTTTCATCATTCTTATTGGAATTACATATACTAGAATCAAGCCCTCAGACATATACTACTTTTCAGCCTTTATTTGAATTTTCAAAGCTGAAATTTTCATGGAAAGAAAGCTGAGAAAAGAAAGTTAGGCCCTAAAACGATATGTATTTCTTAGAATATGGTTGAATAGTTTTGTATGATAAAGTGTCCTGCTGAATTGTTTAAATTGAATCTTTATTATAATGATTTATGCCTCTCATTGCTTGATAAATTATTTGCTTGTCCTTTTTTAATTGATAATTTTATCAGGAGAAAAACATGTGGTCTAGTAATTTACAAAATATAAGCTCTAATATAACTGTTTCCATCAGTTTCTAACTATGCCTTTATCTTCCCCTAATTTTTTTCCTCATCTTTCAAACTAGCATTATGATATTATTTTCAACAACGATAGATGTAAATGATAATGCAATAAAATCTATAAAAAACAAATAGAAAATAGCATATTCAAAGCCTCAGACAAATATTTTTTTAAACTACAGGATCATCATAGTTCTAAATTGAAAAACCTTGCCAAAAAATGCATTTAGCAGAAATAATTTGGCTCTTAAGAGACTGGAACAAAATAATTACAATAAACATGAAGTAACAAGTATATTCCCTCTGTTTTCAATTTTTATTCTGATATCATTTTCTCCAAAGAAAGTAGAATTATTTTCTTTTTAAAATATTTTTTTCTTTTATAGAGATGGATCTCAGCAAACAGGAGTATTTTGTTCTTTGCTAAATCTTTTGGAAAGTGCAGAAACAGAAGAAGTAGTAGATGTTTTTCAAGTAGTAAAATCTCTACGCAAAGCTAGGCCAGGCATGATTTCCACATTCGTAAGTATACCTCACCATTGCTTTTAACAAGCTTTGGACTTTTATTTTGGCAGTTTTCTTTCTTTTCCTTTCCTCTCCTTTCCTTTCCTCTTTTTTTCTCCTTACTTCTTCTCCCCTGTTATTTTCTTTCCTATTATTTTCTCTCTTCTTTTTTTACATGATAATTCTCACTGAATTATTGCCAATCTAAATAAGAGCCCTAGCTAAGGTTTACCAGTAATTTGTTGTGATGACTCATGAAGAATCTTTCCTTAAATGACTATGCATTTCTTAATTTCCCTTCTGGTAATCCTGTATCAGTTAGTGCTATTGTATAAGGAACCACTACCAAATTTAGTGGCCTAAACAAATAAAATGTATTATAACTCGGTAGACTAATAACCTGCTGGTCTGTTCGTTCTGCTGCTGCCCTCAGGCTCGGCCAGTGGAAACCAGACTGACTCATGTGCCTGCCATCAGTAGACTCATGTGTCTGCTGGGCTCTGCCTGGTGACCTCTGCCAATAGGTTGGCAGTTGGTTGTCATTTGGCTGTGGCAACAGGGCTGAGTGGTTCACATGTCTCTCCTAATTAAGACTACCACAGGCTTTTTCATAGAAAAGTGGCAAAGTTCTAATAGGAAGAGAAGATTTGTGTGAGACTACTTGAGGACTGTGCTTGACACGGACACAACACATAATTCTCTGCATTTTATCAGCCAAACAAGTCATAAGGCCAGCCCAGACTCTGTGGTTAGGGAAATACACTCCACTTCTTGTTGAAAGGCCTGCAAAATCACACTGCAAAGAAATGGGGATACAAGGAAGACAATTAGTGTTGCATTTTTGTAATTACTCTATCATGTATCTTCTATATGTAGTAGTAACTGAAGGTGATCATATGGGAATGGGTGAGTCATTATTCACAATGTAAACTTAATTATTCACTAAAGTATGTGAAGTTTTTAATCACGACCGTGATATTGAGCTTGCACATACTGATTTTAAAAATGTATCGCGTGCTTACTATGTACTCTTGCCATTAAGAGACTTAATGTTGAGTGTGGAAAAAGGTCCTATTAATCTGTAAATAAAATGACAGATAAATTATAAGGAAAATATGAATGAGGGCATTTAATTTAACCTATGGATCAAGGTAGGCTTCTTGAAGCAAGAGATTCCTGCTGTGATTCTAAAATTGTATGTAGGTGTTAGCTAAGTGGATAAACACAAAAGGTGACATCTTGGGCAAAAGTATAGGAATGGTCTGTGAGGAAAGGGAACACCAGTTTGGAGTTGCTACATGGTAAAGTTTGAAAAATGCCCTGTAGTCAATCCTTTAGAACCATAAGGAAACTAAGCCATTTAGAATATCTTTTAAGAGAACATACAAGAGTAACTTTTTTTTGTCATCCAGGACTTCCACAAATAAATGATTAGTTCTTGCTAATTTTTATCTGGCATAGAAATAATTACATCAACTTTCCTCTTGTAATTTATTACTTCCTTTACTAGGAGCAATACCAATTCCTATATGACATAATTGCCAGCATCTATCCTGCTCAGAATGGACAAGTAAAGAAAAACAACAATCAAGAAGATAAAATTGAATTTGATAATGAAGTGGACAAAGCAAAGCAAGATGGTAATTGTGTTAGTCCACTTGTTGCCTCAGATAAAACCCATGGAGGAAACAAAGAGGCTGAAGGTTCTGAACCCACAAGTGGCACTGAGGGACCAGAACATTCTGCCAATGGCCCTGCAAGTCCAGCTTTAACTCAAAGTACATAGGAAAAGACATGAATGGGGCAACTCAAAACCTCATATTAGCCCTTATTTCTATTTTTCTAGAAGTGGGAAGTTAAAATAGATATGCAAGTGGATTAATGAAATGTATTGAACCAATATTTGTTGGAGGTTTCTATTTTACTACTTTGGGAAAATATTTAAGATAGTTTTGCTAAAACATTTTGTACAGACTTATGCTTATTTTAAAATGTTATCATTCAGCAAATACAACTTCTTTGTAGTTTTATGTGTGTGTTTGCATGTTTGGGTATGTGAGAGAGAGATAGAGTAAGAGAGATTGAGAGAGATAGAATACCTTTAAGGAAATCTAAAGACTCTTGCTTTTCTGAAGACAAAACACAGTTTATATTGGAAGCGTTAACTTAGTTTGAAGGATCTATTTTAAAAATCATAAAATGAGTGTGGGCTCTGTGTAAGAATAACAACCTGTACATTTCTAGATTGACCTCAAGATGTCCTCCTTGTTCTACTCATATATATCTTAGAGTTTCCTATTTTACCTCTAGAGATAGTACATATAAAAGTGGCATGTGTGTGTACAGCTATTGCAAGAAAGTTAACTAAATTAAAATTTAGAAGTCTTGTATGTCATCTATTAGCATTTAGTCCAATATCTTTTTTTAGCTTATTTAATCTAATTTAAAACTTTCAAATGAGCCTATCTTGCAGTCTTCACATGGGGTTTACAGTTTCGCAACATGGATTATAGTCTGTACAATATTTAAAATTCATTGCTTGATACTTTTGCTAACAATTATGTCTGCTACAATTGAAGTTATAAAAAATCTTTAAAATAAACAAATCCAATTTATTGTATAAAAACAAAAGCATACTAATGTATTTGTTTAATGTTTACATATTAAATCCAATATAGCTATTTTTGTGGAATTCAGCATTGATATGAGTCATAACATATTGTATATGTGTATTTCCCATGTTAAATTCCATCCTTGATGGAATGCTTAGATTGTGTTTTACCAGAAATTGATATCAATAATCATAATAAAATGCAATTATTCTTTTTTCTTGTTTATAATATATTGTGTTACCTGTTCATAAATGAAATATATATGTACTTATTAAAATATAGGTTTAATGCAATTAATGACATTTGCAGGAAACTTTTTCAAGTCTTGGTTACTTTAGGGAAACTATAGTCTAATAATTGTTGAGGATGTAGAAAAAACTCAAGAATTGTAGTATTTGTCAAGGAGTAATAAAAACAATTCCTTCTGGTGAATTCTGCATTAGTTTATCACAATGGTCACACACTACCTTTAGGTTGGTTTGATTTTCTATATTTCCATCCTCCTGATTGATTTAAAATATCTTAACTATACAGAATCAATTGCTCTTCTTTCAACTCACATTTATTTTGTGTCCCCACTCCTAATTCTCTTATTATTACAACATAAAATTAGCAATCCTTACACTATAATATAGTTCTTTGCTATTATTTAACAGTTGAAAAGAAGTACATTTTATGATGAAGTCACAGTTTCTAATTTTTATTAAGATTACTTATGATGTCTTTACTTATTCATGAGAAAAATGTGTTGGAGGGTTAGTAAATCACCAATTATTGACACCAGAAAGGCATAAAACTTGTTTTCACTTCTCTCTTTAACCACCCAAACTTTTTTTTCCTTTTTAATTTTTTTCTTATTTTAAAGATGTGGGGTATAATTCAGGGTTAGGTATACAAACATTGATTATGCAGGTACCCTTGTTGATGAGGTATGCCCCTCCCTCCCCTAGCAGTTTCCCTCAACTGTCAATCCCACACCCCTCCCCTGGCAGTTTTCCGCTACTGCCAATCCCCTTCTTATAGTATTATGATAATTGTTCAAGGTCCGCTTAATCAAACTTTTAAACCTTTTTCTTCTACTGAAGATCAGTTGCCATTTACTAGACAATGTAGTTAAAATTTGCATTTCTCATGTTCAATAGACTATTATGACATATGTCTATTTTACCTTTGATTTGCTTCAAGATACAAACAGTAGTTCTAAATAGTTAACAGGTAAAGCCTTTTCAGAAGTTTCAACTGTATATCTTCCACATGTTGAGATTTTTGTTTTAAATATCTATTTTCCACTTGAGACTATTCTTTTAAAATAAATACTTAGAAAATGAAGATATGGTAATGTCTATTAGTTTAAGAATGAAACTGAAAACATTCTTTTTTTCCCTACAGATGGGAAGTTGTGATAAAGGGAGATATAAAGTAGTGACTCAAAAAGCCCATTACTTTGTGAGAGCAAGCATCAACTAGAAAGTGCAACCTATTGCATTAGAACATGGAATATATGTCTATAACTTGTATCTTAGAAAATAATCTGTCATTTATGTGCCATGTTTCTGGCTATGGATTGTATTCATGAGGATCTGTTACGAGATATAAACGATTTCTTTGCTAAATTTTAGTGCCACCATTATTAATTCCAAGACCCAGTCAAATATTTTAAGCAAAAAGTTTCAGCTTTAAAAAAAAGTGGGTCCATTTTAGAAATAAGGTTGTAAATCCCTTTGGATGCTTACTAGGCAAAACAAGCAAACAACATAAAAGACCTGGTAGTTTTCTTTTAAACTTTGTTTGCTTTATTTCTGAATCCAGAATACCCTGGGAATAAAAGATACTTTTAGTAACCTTAAACTTCAACTCCCAAGGCATTAGTTTCGTACATAAGTGACAGATAAATATTTGCAGAAAAGAGGTATACATCTTAGTATTTCCTTGCAATAGTAAAATTGCGTGAGGTAATTAGCTAAATATCTTTGCAACAATAATTTAAAGTGAGTTAAGCTTTCACTCAGAGTCCTAATACTTGTACAGAAAAAAATTTCATATTTTTTTATTTTCCCTCTCTAACATTGAATGTAAAGTTTAGTCATTTCTTACAATAAACTAGAATTGATCCTAATTGTTATAAAATGTTCTTATAGCACCATATTAGATCTAAATAAGTAAGTAGTAATTTCCTCTAGCTAATTGCAACATGTTTTTTGATATGAAGACCTTCAAATGTACAACTTCAAAGGAAATGAATATCTGTTACAATGAGTAGAAAAGGCTGTGCTTTCATTTCCTTACACAAATTTTACATCTGGAATGATCTGAATGTTCTTCAAAGAGATACATTGAAAATGGGGCTTTTTCATTTCCTGTTTTGAGTGAAAGGATTTATTCTGCTTAAAGTCCTTTTTTGGGGGGGGTATTCATTCTTTTATAAATCTCTTTACATTTCTTTTTACATTTTATTTGTTCAAATCAAAAGTGATTGCTAAGTTTTGATTAACGTTTGTAGGAGAATTAAGAGTTTTAAATAATTTACAGCAAGTGAATTCTTGTTTTTCCTAAGATTCCCTAAAGGCAAACTCTTCTTTATTCCAACTACTGATGGTTACTTTCTTTATGATGACATGGAATTTGGATGTCAGATAAAATATAAGACAATATATTTTATCTGTAAAACACACACACACACACACACACACACACACACACACACACACACACACACACACACATATATATTAGTATAAGTATGTCCCATGCAAAGTTTGGGACATACTTACACTAAAAAATTCCTTTTTTATCTGAAATTCAAATTTGACTGGATATTCTACTTTCTCAGTCTCTGAAGTCTAACATAGAAAGATTAACTGTATTTGAGACTAACATTAATTGAGGCATAATACATGCCAGGCACTTTATTAATTGTTTTACCTGCATTTCCTTCTTAAGAAAAATTCTATGACACATGTATGCTTATTTCCATTTTATAGATGAAGACTGAGGTTAGAAAAGTTCAAAACCTTGTGTGTTACAACATATCTAGTAAGTGACAGAACTAGGATTTGAACCAGCATCTACTGGCACTGTAGGATAGTCTGTGTGCATACTCTTCTGCTCTTCTGCCTTTCAAATATCAACTTTACATGCTTTAAAAAATGAGTGGAAAAAACAGCCTGAATTTTTTTCTCTGTCTTTTTAAAATTTTATGATTAAAACAAAAACAAGATTGTGTGTAATATAGGATCTCAACAACACTGTACAACACAGTGAGCTTAGCTGAACTCACAGCATTGAAGTTATTACACAAAAATAAACACACTCTTAAACATCCATGGGAAAGGATTGTTCTCATAATTCATATAAACAAAGATCACCTCATCACTAGTGGGAGAGCCAGGAAATTAAACACTACCATAAATCACAACTGTCGCTGTTCCATTGTCCCACAATTTGGTAATCAGAACAAGTTCTTACTGTTTGGATCACATTTTGGTACGTTTGTCAGAGGACCCATCCATCAGTATTTAAAACAAGCCAGCAGGGCACCCTCAAATGCAAACCACGTTTACAGAGAGGATGACTTGCTCTGAGGTGGCACAGTGAGTCCCACAGAGCTCTCTTCTTCCCTCCAGCTGTCCCCAACTTAGAATGCCAGGGACTGGAAATGGACTTTCTATGTAAAATAACATATGTGTTTCCCTCTAGGAAAACAGTGTTTTCTTGATTCAGATTCACCTTTTTACCACAGTAAAATTGGAACCTCTGGCACACGTTTATTTAATTTTCCAGAACAAAAGAACTTGTTGGATTCAATAGTATCTCATGTATAGCAGGTAAGTCAGTTCCATAGAAGCTGATGTCCTGTCAAAGAATACAAATATTGTCTTGAATCATTATGAGTTGTGGAATCTTAAGTGGTTTTCATGCATGCTGTGAAGTGGGAAAAAGATGTGGTACTAGGAAGGGAAAAACAATCTGTCCACTATTAACACATGGGATGAAAGCTGGGATAGCTTAGATACTTTTTGTCATAATTAGAAAAAATTTTAAAAACCCTAAACTTTCTCTATGGCTATCTAGTATATGCTTTGATTTATTTTGAATTGACTTGGCAAATAAATCTCCCATCATTCTCTCATATTGTGGTGGATCCTCACAGACAATAGCACAGAGCCCTTAGCTATTTAAGGCAATACTCTGTGGAACATTTTATCACCAACTATTTTGACATCATCTCTTAAAAACACACATTTCAGGAAACATCCTTATGGAAACTGAAACTGGCAACTAATTCCTGATCAAAACCCCAAGTGCCCATACCATAAGAGATAAGATAGGTAAGTGGGACCTTATCAAACTGAAAAGCTTCTGCAAAGCAAAAGAAACCATCAAGAGAGTGGGGAGACAGCCCACAGAATGGG